AATGGAACTTAATTTGTCCTATAGCACCGTTTTATTTCGACATGTTGCCACTTTATGAGATGTATTCACCTCGTTTCGCGAAAGTGCTGAAGGATTGTTAATTGAATAGTTAGCGTCATATTTCCATGGAGTTTCACATAGCCTTGCTACCCAAAAGTTATTCTCATTCAGGCTGAAATGGACCGCAGTTTCGACCTCTTCTTGTTCTCATCTGCACCTTGAGTGGGACTCGAACAGTGATAGGGCAGTGTATAACCTCACCTTTTTAACCACTACACCGCATTGCCACGAGTGTCCTTGAGTCACTGAGCAGATGTGAATTTCAAGCAAGATCAAGCATTTTCCCATATCACATTCTGTGGTGGGAGTATCGATGAATCAAAGTTGTATTTGTTATAGCAATCGACTATATTACTTATTTTTTGTTTATAAGTAGGCTTTCGAGATCTCTAGATCATATATAGGATCTATTCAGTATATTTCATTAAGGTGGTTAGTTCATATGATTGTGATAAAAATTCAACTACCAGTCCTTCATCCTTTTAAATGAATTAGACCGAATACATCTAAAAATACTATCAATTGGTAGTCTCGAAAAGCTAATTTTAAGCGAAAAATATGTTAACAGTACTCCACACTTCCGTGATTGTCAGCGGCAAGAGGACACAATTGAATTTCATAACAATTTAGGCCACTCCTATATCGCATTCTGCATATTGAGATTATAGCTGAGTCAAACATGAAGTTGCTACTTATATTCGAATTGAGTAGAACTATGCGACTATCCGTAGATCTTGAATACGCACTTTCATCAGTCTTGTTCGACAAAGGGGATGAAGGACGGATAGCAAATTTTCTCACAAAGTTGGCCTCAGAATAGAATTGAGTGTCGCCTTGAAACACTATCCGGGCTATATTTCCACTGGAGGTGCTGATGAGACGCTGGGAACTCCAGCCGTGATGAGAATACGTTTTGGGAGGCAAGACTAATAAACATTTATTTGCATCTTGAGACCTATTCTTCTCAAATGGTCTGTATCTCGGCTGGAGGAGTACGTGTCGAGCTGGCCCTCAGGCGAGACGAACAAGGTATAAAAATTGTCTCTCCATTCACAGCATTTTTTAACGAATGCATTTCACGCTGTGTTGAGTACGTCAAAAATACATCTCCTAAGCAGATGCTTACAACGAGACGCTTGACTACTCAATGATGACTGTATTTTGCTTACCTCGATGGTCAGTTGTTGCCCTGAGCCGACGAGTCGATCCAGCCTCGTCTCTGGCCTCCGTTGGCCACGTCCGCTACGCTTCACCTGTCGAAGACTCCGCGGCTGAGCCTCGGTCAAAACGGTCGTGGAATCGGCCGGGCGTGACGGCATCAACCGATGCAAGGCCGCCAGACCACCCGGTTCCAGAGTCTGAGTTCGGCCGGTCATTCGGCGTCCGGAGCGAGGCTCCAGTCGTTCGGGCTCCTCAGCATCCGCAGACCGGTCGTCGACATCGACGAACCAGGAAAGCCGACCTTCTATTGGCTCGGAGGCAAGCAAGTTGCTAGGAAGTCGAGTCTGAAAAGACAAAATACAATAATTTTTCGTTTGTTTACGCCGTTTTCCAGACTACAAATATATCGAATAGAGGAGTTGAATTCATCCTGTCTTGTTTGCTGGATTTTCCCACTTTCGAACGAGCAGGCATCACGTTTTCAGTGTATTTCACAATGCCTATCTTCCAAAGGTATTCTTTTCCAGACTCAACTGGACGGCAGTTTCAACCTCGCCTGGACTGGTCTCATCAGCACCCCCAGCGGGACTCAAACCTAGCCTATAGCAGTGCTGCGTAGGGTCTCGACGCGTAAACCACTATAACGAACTGCCATGAGTGCCCTCATGTATTACATTTTTGTGGTGGGACTGTCAACGAAGCCATGTCAAACGATTACATTACTTATTTTTCGTTTTGTAAGTAGGCTTTCGGGACTACCAGTAGATTTTGATATAAAAGTTGCATTCATCCTACTTCGTTTATTATACTTAGCCACTGTTAGTTGAATTTTGTCACAAAGTTATGTATAGGCCCCATATTTCCTCTAATTGCACATTTCATTGCTTCCCACATCTGCCTAGATGAAAATACCTTTTGAGAAACAAGGCTATGCGAGATAGAGTGAATCAAGCTCGCATAAAAGGCAATAATGTTGTAGAGACTTTCGTTTCGTATGCTAGTATATGGAATGAAGAGACCAAACTTACCATAAGACGTCAGTAGAGTTCCTTTATTCTTTAGATTGAAGCAGTCCCCCTAGTTTCAATTCAAAACCGGTTGGGCTTTCGTCTGTCATATAACGGACATCGTCACAGCTG